TTGAGAACTGAGACCTGACAATTTTTTGTCTGATACCTGACAACTTTTTTCTTGAGACCTGACGATGTCCTAAAATGTACACCGTACTGAAGACCCCAAAATTTAAAGTGACATTTTAATTTAAAGAGACACCTGCTGCTTAAAAATGCATGATCTGCACAATCCTTGAACGTATGTGAGTTAAATGTATGTGTTCATGCCTTGCAACTAAATCTCCATCTTTGGAGATCAAAAATGTCTGCAAAAATATAAAGAAATAAAGAGATTCCGAGGGCCCTTTGGTAAAATTATCATGGGACTGAGTTTGTTTCAAAGGAATATAGAAACTACTGCCCATTCTAGGGTTGTGACCGAAAAGTGGTAAAAGAATTTAGAGGGACTGAAATTTGTTACTGTGCAATCCCATGTAATCAACTCAAGAAACTCAAGAAAATACTTTTGTATTTTTATAATTTGATTGAATGGGATTGCAACAGGTTATCATTGTAGTTTAAAAGTTATTTTTATTTATTTATTTTAACTTAGTAACTAAGAAACCTCTGTTCACACAGGCCCTGTTGGTATTAGATTATCCTTAAAAAAATACCCATGAAAATTGCCAAATACAATTCCACTGCCCCATATTTTGCAGCAATTATTATATTTACCAGTTGGATAACGTTTCGTAACTTTGGAATTAGCATAAGCTGTCATTTATTTTACTCTTTTAGTAAATAGATTGTTTAGTTTGTATTCTTTTGGTGTAAAGGCACTGCAAGATGTCAAATTCAACTGTTACTATTGTATGTATGTGTGTGTGTACTGTACTACAAACTGACTATAGTACATTTGTCAGTGAATTCAAAATGTATGGTATAATATTATAAAATCTTTTGATTTAAGCTCTTAAAGACACAAACTTATTCCCAGCACAAAGACAGAACTCTCTTATTAATCAAAAGCTTTTTCATTATACCTATGTTAATATTGTACAATGCAATAAAAACTTTCAAACTTGAAAAAGAGTTTGAAATAAAATTTAATTAAATTACTTATGGATCAAGGAACAGCACAGTTCAGTAGCACTGAGATAATACCTTAAATAAACAAACAGAGGAAAGAAAGGAGGCAAGAGAGCAAGAGATCAAAACAAAGACTTAATTTAATAAACATGTAACAGTTACATGTTGTGACACAGATGTTAACTAAATTAGACCTTATTATTTTCTGCTTGATGGAATATGCCACCTGTTGCTCTTGTTGTTGTGTTAAAGGATGAAGCAATCTGTTTCTGTTTTTAATCCCATGCGGCTCCTTTATTGGACTCTGGTGCAGCTGTCCCATTGGAATAAATCTATTGGGTAATAAAGTCATGCCTGAAACAGATGTGCACTTATTTGCCTTCCTCAGTTTTCCTTGTTTTTTTTGGGTTTTTTTTGTATGTGCAATCTTTTATTTTGTATTGCATCATTGTTCATTTGAACTTCAGCATAGAGGTTTGGTCATTACTGAACCCCATTAACGAAAACAATTCCTAATAAAAACGTTCTCGAAAGTTGATAGCAACATAAATCTTAAACAATTCCTATTAACATTTTTTATGAACTAAGTATGGGTAGCCATTATCAGTTTTACTAGTAGACAGAGTATTAGATTAGCATTATGTTAGATTTTTAAGTTAAATTATTTTCAAGGTTTAACAAGTATGAATGAATGCACATATTTGTGAAGTAAGGCATATAACAATCGATATCCAGCCCATCAAAAAACTTAATGTTTAAATTAGGTACAGTTCAATCTAAATGAGCAGTATAACATGGGCCTAAACAAGGAATGGGGAAAGAGAAGGCAGATGCCAGCAAAAGTTCAGATAGAGGTACACCACTCAATGTTGTGTGAAGGTGAAGCACATGATTTATATTTGATGGAATTAGGGGTACTTTATTCAATATATTTTGTTATGTCACATAAAATGTGGAGGTGGGATTAAATAAGTTTGCACTTTTTCTCGCTCCTTTTTGATATGTAACTGAATCAGAACAGTGAAGCAATATTGAAATCTATTACCTTTATTTTGTATAGCATTTTTTTCTCTTCTTTACTTTGCTAAATGAACTTTGTACATTGTTTAGATGATCGAAATAAATTAAAAACAAACAAATAGAATTAAGTGTAAGTTTAATACAAAATGTGTATTTCGCAACATCATGGTTGGACTAATCATCACAAATGTAACTCTACTGTCTTTCACTTGTCAGACTGGTCACAACATATGCCATTTATTCACATTAACAATCATTATAGGAAGATTATGTAGTGTCAACCCAGCCCTGGAATTTAAACTCTTAATATTGTATATCATAATTTGATGTCTTTCCCATTATGTGTTTCTTAGTATTTTGTTCTGGCCTAAACAGGATTATATAACATTTTGGTATAAAAATGCAGAAAAGTAGTCCAAAGCTGGAAGCCAAAATAGCAAATATTTCTACAGCCACAATAAACTTTCCCGGTGAGCTGATATAGGCGGGGATAAATGTGATCCAAACTGCACAGAATATCAGCATGCTAAAGGTTATAAATTTTGCTTCATTAAAATTATCAGGCAGCTTTCGAGCCAAAAATGCAATTGCAAAACATGATATAGCCAGAAATCCTATATATCCTAGAACAGCGCAGAACCCTACAGCTGTGCCTGTATCACACTCTAAAATGATTCTGTCCTTATACAGTAGTAAATTCCTAAAAGGAAAAGGTGGGTTTATTGTTAACCAAAGTATGCATATCAAAACCTGTATAGAAGTAAAGACCAGAACAGTGAGTCTCTGCTGTAGAGGGCCAAACCATTTCATCACATTTGTCCCTGGAAGTGTAGCTCTGAAGGCCATTAAAACTACTATTGTTTTACCAAGAACACAAGAGATGCAGAGGACAAAGGTGATGCCAAATGCCGTGTGTCGCAGCATGCAGGACAATTTGGTTGGCCGTCCGATGAAGGTCAGAGAGCACAGGAAACACAGAGTTAAGGAGAAGAGCAGCAAGAAGCTCAGCTCAGAGTTGTTTGCCCTTACTACTGGGGTTTCTCTGTGACAGTAGAAGACTAATGTCGTAACCATAGTTAGAAAAACTCCCAGCAATGAAAATAACACTAACACCAACCCTAGAATTTCATCATATGCCAGGAATTCTACTTCTTTGGGGATGCAGGCGTCTCGTTGTTTGTTTGACCAGTACTCTGGTGGGCATTTCGCACAGTGTATTGAATCTGCAAAATTAAAAATAAAGTAGGGAATTATCAAACAAACAACTTTTATTTGTCACATACACAATCATACAGAGTACAACATGTAGTGAAATGCTTGTGTCCGAGCTACGGTCAGACTACAGACATATCCGCGCCGTTCCAGCATGGATGGTCTAGCCAGGACCCTTACTGGATAGTGGGTGGGAATTGAACTTGCAATTCCCACTCCAAAGGTGTGTAGTCTTACCAATACAGTATCCAGCTGCTTAATTTTCTTTGTTTCTTTTGCTATTTATTCACCTGTCACATTACTGATCTCTCCTTCTGGGCAGGGTATGCAGTCATAACAGCAGACTGGCTTTCCTTTCTGAAGGACCTTATGTGTTCCAGGGAGACACATCTCACTGCACACTGACACAGGCACCTCCTACAGGCATAAAAACAATCATATTCATTTTGTACTATCTCTATAGTTAAATAAGAATTTAAAAAACATAAAAGTTAATATTTATATGAAGATTTCAAACTTCAGTTTCTATGTTACCTCAGTCAACCCATTGCCCCAGACAACTGGGATGTTGTTCATGACAAATTGATTTCTCTCTGGAAGAGACGCATCAAAAATGCCAATGGTTCTTCCCTCCATTGTTCCTCGAATTGTAAACTGTAAATTAACAAGTTCATATCTTGCTGGGGTGTCACCATTTTTGTTAAAATACACCCTTTCCCCTTCTTTTGTTGTAAAATTTACAGTGTTAAGATACTGTAAGACCTAAAAATGAAATTCCATAGAAATTAAATTAAGCATTTCAACTCTTATCATATTGTCAGAATGAACTGACAGTCACTCACTTGCCATGGTTTAATGTGTTTGGGGTCAATGCAGCTCCCATTAGAAAAGGACAGTTGATCATTATCACATTTGATCAGCATGTCGAGAGCATGAGCCACTGCGTAAACTGACTTGTAGACATTATCAGTAAATCTGAGCTCAGACACATCAGTGAACTGTGATTCAATGTTTTGCAAGCTCTCATGGCCACTACATGGCTGTTTTTGAGTGTTTACAGTTCTATTGAGAGAGCAGTTAAACACTTCTTCCCAGAATTCCCTAACAAACTGACTATCGGGGAACTGTGAGGGGTAGAGCTGCTTTAGATACTCCTCTAGCCCTGAGATCTTAGCTTTAGGGCTGGTGAAGCCTAATGAGCCCACCAGGATTTTGTGTCCCTCACTGTCAGTCAGAGAGTGATCTGTGATCCATGCATCACTGCCAATCCACTGGAGTCCTGTAATGCTATGCGTGTACAGCTCAGTAGCCAGCAATTTAATTTCTCTGTGAGACATAAAAGCCATAATAACTTTGGAAGTGGACTGCTTAATGATTTCTATTATTCTCTGTAGTCTTTTTGGTGGATCTGATGATGAAAATGCTTCAGAATACTCAATACACACTCCATATTCTTTTGCAGCTTGGATAAATGCTGCTATGCCATTGAAGCCATATTCATTATCCACAGCTAACGCCCCAACCCAGGACCATCCAAAGTGCTTGACAAGCTTGGCAAGAGCTCTGCTCTGGTAGTAGTCACTGGGGATAGTTCTGAAAAAGGTAGGGTACTCTTTCCTGTTGCTCAGACAGGCACAGGTGGCAAAATGGCTGATCTGCATTGAAATATACAAATATCTGAATAGCATTGGCAGAGCAAACATTAAATATTGCCATTTTAGGCTTATGCATTACCTGTAGCTATAATTCTACTCTTCCAATTTTGCAAGAGAACTGTAGAGGTGCAAAAGTGCAATATGAAAAGCGAAATTATACTTCAATGACTTGTTTTCTTTGACTTACCACAGGTATCTGAAACCTTCCAACAACCTGTGCAAATGCAATAGTTGGGCTTGATCCAGAATGTCCCAAGATTGCTTGCACCGTCTCAGTGCAGGTGTCCTCACGGAGTTGTCTATTTAACCCACTCAGCAGTGTCAGTGCTGCTCTCAGTATGTCCATGGTTCCACAGTTATCATAAATCTTATAGCCAAGTTTAATATTAGACAGCATGTGGGGATTTTTGTTGATTTCATTTATGGCAAAGATCATTGTTTGAGCAAATTTAAATTCTCTAAAATTAAAGCTGTAATTATTAATAAAAGTAACAAAAACTTTATGTTAAAGGTTCCAATGCAGAACAAAATACACACAAGCATAAACTGTTTCAAATGAAATGTAAATTTAACACATTTCTCGTATAAAGTAGGATATAGGATAAATAATACATACTTTTTGCATTTTCGAAATTCTGGCATTGTCTGGAATGTGTTAGTTACAGAATCCTGGCCTGTGCGAAATGAAAAAATGCCTCCAATAATAAGATCCCCATCCTGGGTTAGTTCAGGTGGTTGTGCCAAGCCTTGCAGCTGACATGCAGAATTTCCTTTCTCCAGTAATAGAATGAAGAGTAGCAGTCTCAATAATACCATATCTCTGCTGTTGCCTGAACATTACCCCAATCAGTTTTACAGTTCATACTGGAGCTTTATACACTTTTTAAGTTGTCATGGCTCAATGTAGCCTCTAGAGACATATGCACACCTTAGGCAAAAGATGTTTTGATCACAGTTTTATTAGCATTATAGTATATTGTATAATTCATATGGCATACAATATAAGGCTAATATATTTATATGATCTAATCACAGTTGTTTTCAAAGATATACTGCATTCATGCTATGACTGGACAGGTATTTCAGTAACTTCAGAGAACCATCTATTCAGTTTGGTTAACAATTATGTATAAATGTTACAAATACAAAGAAAACATTGTTTTCATTTTTCAAAATAAATGGGTTGCCTTCTTCCCCATCATGTTCTTCTTAGTATTCTTTTCTGGTTTCAGTAAGATGATATAACATTTGGGCATGAAAATGCAAATCAGTAGTCCAAAACTGGAAGCAAGTATAGCAAATACTTCTACAGCAACACTGAACTTTCCTGGAGAGCTGACATATGCCGGGATAAATGTAATCCATACTGCACAGAAAATCAGCATGCTGAAAGTAATGAACTTGGCTTCATTGAAATTATCGGGTAGTTTCCGAGCCAGAAAAGCAAAAATGAAACATAAGACAGACAAAAGTCCAATGTAGCCAAGAACAGCCCAATACCCTACAGCTGAGCCTAGAGCACATTCTAAAATAATTTTGTCCTTAAATTCTTTAAAATTCTTAAATGGAAATGGGGGACAAATTGTTAACCAGACAATGCATATGATAACTTGTACAAGAGTGAATACCAGAACACAGAGCCTTTGTTGTGTCTGCCCAAACCATTTCATCATATTACTACCAGGAAGTTTAGCTCTGAAGGCCATTAAAACCACTATTGTTTTTCCCAAAACACAAGAGATACAGAGGACAAAGGTGATGCCAAACGCTGTGTGCCGTAGCATGCAGGACCATTCAGAGGGCTGACCGATGAAGGTCAGAGAACACAGGAAGCACAGAGTTAAGGAGAAGAGCAGCAAGAAGCTCAATTCAGAGTTGTTTGCTCTCACAATAGGAGTTTTTCTGTGTTTGAAGAAAATTAACACCACACCAGCAGTTGTGCATGTTCCAAATACAGATGCTGCAGTGAGCAGTGCTCCCATAATTTCTTCATATGATAGAAACACTGCTTCCTTCTTTATACACGCATCTCTTCTCTCATTTGACCAATATTCAGGGAGACATCTCACACAGGTGACAGAATCTGCCAAAAAAATATCAACATATTACAAATCACCCCGACACTCATCTCCAACCACTGCATACAGGCTCTTCACTCTTCTTCACCTCTCTTCTGCACTGTCTTTTGCTTTGGAAAGTTGATCCCAGGTATTTCAATTCATCTGCCTTCACTATCTCTACTCCTTGAATTTTCATTTTTACACCCATCCCTCTTTCATTTACTCGCTTCCACTGGCTTTCATTCCTCATCTCTCCAGTGTACACCTCTACTTCTCTAGACATAGGCACCATACAATAACTTTGCTTAATTATTAAATAAATTCAAAACAGTTCCAGTCTTACATGACAGATAGTCCTGAAAGTAAAACCCAAACAGTAAAGCAAGAACTTAACATAACCAAGCAATGATAAAATCTTTGTTTTGAGGCACAGTGAGCAAAAGAAATACAAAAGTGTACACTGAATATAACACTTGTAACATAACCTGTAATGTTGCTGATATCTCCTTCTGCACATCTTATACAGTCATAGCAGCAAACAGGCCTTCCTTTCTGGAGAACCTTGCGTGTTCCTGGAGGACATTTCTCACTACAAACTGACACAGGAACCTGCACGAACAAAGGCATTATGAGAAAAACATGTATAATATTGCCCTTACAGCCATGTTAATAAAATGTATTTAATACTAGAGCCAATAGATGTTTATATCTCCTGTGCCAAACTATTTTGTTAAAATTGAATTTGTAATTATTGTAATTAATTAGACTGATACCTTACCTGCTTTGAGTTTCTTGCCCAAATTAAAGACTTGTTTTGCAGATATAGCTGTTTTTCTGCAGCTAATGATATATCATAAAGACCAACTGTGACAAACTCCACAATACCATTTTCTCTTGGCTGCCAGTTTATAATTTCATATTTTGCGGCTGGGTCTCCATTCTCATTAAAGTAAACCTCCTCTCCTTCCTTTGTTTTGAAGTAAATGTTTTTTATGTGCTGTAAAATCTATAAAACAACATTAATTTATTTAATTACCTGAGAAAAACTTTGCAAACTAACTGGCTATAGGACATGGATAATTAATTATTTTTTCAAACTGTGAAAACATTTTTTTTATCAGTGATTGTTATTGTGTAATGTGATAACTTATAATTGAAATTATTAAAAAGCTCACCGTGAATGGTTCTAGCGGCACAGTTTTGTTACATGTTTTATTACAGCTGAGGATGTTGTGAAGTGCATGTGCCACTGCATACACTCCTTTGTAGACATTGTTAAAGATAGGCATGAGAGACATGTCAGTGTAGCTGTTTTGAACTCCAGTCACATCTTCATGTCCAGTACACTCTCTCTGAATGTCTGATGATGATATTGACTGCCTAAACCTACAGTTAAATAATGCCTCCCAGAACTCAATAAACAATTCATTATTAGATGAATTGAGTGGCTTCAGATTAAGCATGAACTCTCTCAAGCCACTGACATGTGCTTTTGGAATGGAAAGGCCTATGGCACCATTCAGTATGTGATGTATATCCAGTGCTGCTATTTCAGAATCAACTATCCATCCCTCACTACCTACCCACTGGTATTCAGTCAAATTGTGCTGGGACATCCCATACATTAGCACATCCATATCCATGTGTGACAGAAAGGCAACAATCACCTTGGAGGTTGAAGCCTTTATAATGTCAATTATCTTTTGTATTTTGTCTGCTGGATCTGTCCTGAAAAAAGATACAGAATACTCCAGACAGATGCCCAGCTGCTGTGCAGTTTCTGTGAATGTGGCCATGCCATTATTTCCATAATCATCATTGGTTCGAATAGCTCCAACCCAAGTCCATCCAAAATGCTTGACCAAATGGGCCAGGGCTCTGCTCTGGTAGTAGTCACTGGGTATTGTTCTGAGGAAGGATGGGTACTTGGTTTTGTCACTGAGACAAGCACATGTGGCAAAGTGGCTGATCTAATAGAGAAAAAGTCCAAAATATAACATTTACACTTGCATTTTTTGCCACAAACGGTGAAGAAATTAAGTAGAAAAAAAAGTCAAACATTGACAGTTGAATGTGCATAATTGCAAATATTTTTATTAGCTATTCTACCTACCATTGATATATAAAATGGCCCAAGGACAGTAGCTATTGCCATGCAAGGGGAGGAAGATGTCTCTCCAATTATGGCCTGCACTTGTGAAGGTCTGGTACATGGTCTTTCAGATTGCCCAGCAACAATTTCATTACCATTAGTCAGCGTCAGTGCAACTTTTACACTTCTTGCCATGGAGCCACAAGCATCATAGATTTTGTAGCCTAGAGAGACTCCTGGCAGTAGGTCTGTACTATTATTAATCTCTTCAATGGCAAAAAGCATAGCCTGAGCAAACTGGAAGCCTCTGAAACTCAAACTTGATTCAATTTGAGATATGGAATTAAAACCAAATTATCTTTAAACCAGAAACAGTGGTATTACAAAAGCAAGTATGTATTATCTCAATACTCAGTATTTCACATACCTGGTACATTGCAGTGGCAGTGGTTTATGCAAGTAGGTGTCCATTCTGTCTTTCCAACTGCTGTGAAATGAGAAGATCCCCCCTAATATAATATTACCATCCTGAGATAGTTGGGGGTTTTCAGGCTCCCCCATTTGCCTGCATACTTGTTCATCAGCCTGAGAGAAAGACACCACCAATAACACTTGTAAAATTGCCCAACCCTGCTGTGGCCAGCTATGCGTTGATGTCATGCTGTCAGTGAGAAATAAAACACTGGATTGCATCACATGTGCCTTTAGATACATTTGAATCTTAAACTGGTATTTATGCATTTTTGGAGTAACATGAGAAATAATGGAGTAGTGATGACTCATTTCTGTCAACCTATAGGTGGAGGAAGAAGAGAGACATACCCAAATGAAAAAAATAGTATGTTTTTCTTATCTAATCTGCTTTGCTTTGTCCTTCCTTTTTATTTTTATTTTTTTATTTCACCAACTCCTGGGGAAATTTTAGTATATTCACTATTATATACAAGGTTAGTTTATAATTGACAACAATCAGAAATTGAACAGTGAAATTTTATTTTTTACATAGATTTTTTAGATTATAGACATACAATTAATATCAGAAAATATATTTTAAATCAAATATTAAAACGTTAACTGTTAAATTTACTTAACCATAATGGAAATTAAGATTAGAGTCAGTAAAATTTCACCATAGTCATACAGTCAATTTTCAAAAAAAAATCTAAAGCATTCGTTCTAAAATTTTGAACTTCTGGCTCATTTTGAAATCTGATATTTATTGCAACTCACACAAGCCCCAAATCATGACTTTAATTACAACATTTACATGAGATAAAGTGTTTTTGGAGGGGGGATTAGTTTTTCATGTAAGGTCACGTAGGTTTGGGTATCTTTTTTACCATAATAAATGAAATCATTGTTTACATTTTATATATATTTTTAAACCCAGAGGTGTGAAGAATATGTAAAAAAACAAAAATCAAGATGCGGTCATATTTTTTTTAAGCCACTCAACAAATCACAAATTTGCCTCAAGAGTCTTTGAAGGTCCTGAGTTGGGATAATTTTTATGAAAAATCCCAGAAAGGTGATTCTGTTCATCTTTACGCAATGTTATAATTGGGAGAAACATTTCAACACTCATCCTGACTCTCATCCTGACTCCCCCAGTCCCCATTGCTTGCTAGTTCCCCAACTTTATGAACAGTACATTTACATGACAATTAACACCATCGCATAACAATGATCCACATGATCAGTTTCATGATTGGTGATAAGTAATGTCCCTTATTCATAGCTACCATAGGGTTGGGAATGGCTGCAATCACAGCATTGTAAAACAGTGAAAGATTTAATATTAGGCCTTCTCCTTGGTTCAGAGATGGATATTTCCGTTTTACATAAATTAACTCCTTAACTCCTCACTCAAATTCATCTCTAGGATATACACATCTTCATCATTAAAAGAGTGACTACTGGCACACAGGCTAAAGTAGACTGCACAGTCCTGGCTTGATGAAGAACCTCTTCTGTTTTGTGTTATTTGTTTAGCTTTAATGTCTAATTCACACCCATCCTCTCACACAAAATTGCTTAGTTTGGACTTTAGGAACTAAACACTGGAGTGTGCCATTGTTTTGTGGGATTTTTCTTGCTTGGTGGCCCTAGCAGATGATTTCATTTGTAGGCTTTTGGGTTTAATCCCACTCTGTCTGCATCTGACCATGAATATCAGCTGTTTCCTATAGGCTCTCTTCTTATGTGCTGTGTGTTCATACTCAAGTAACTGGTTTAGGCAGGCCTTTGATGATACATACTGAGCAATCAAGCCCAATAATTATTTCCCAGTTTGCTGAAATCAGTACACATTGCCATTATGACTTATGCACATGTAAATATCAACGGCCAGAAAAATTATCATATGACTCATTATTTTGCAATATCCCCCAAGGCAACTGTAGCGCAACTGTGCTGTTTATATAGTATTACCAAAACAAAACACAACAAATTTCAAATTAATGGGGTGCCTTCTTTCCCATCATGTTCTTCTTGGTATTCTTCTCTGGTTTCAGTAAAATTATATAACATTTTGGAATGAAAATGCAAAATAGCAGTCCAAAACTGGAAGCAAGTATAGCAAATATTTCTACAGCAACACTAAACTTCCCAGGGGAGCTGACATATGCTGGGATAAATGTAATCCATACTGCACAGAATATCAGCATGCTGAAAGTAATAAACTTGGCTTCGTTGAAATTATCGGGTAGTTTCCGAGCCAGAAAAGCAAAAATGAAACATAAAATGGCCAAGATTCCTATATATCCAAGCACAGCCCAGTACCCTACAGCTGATCCCAGAGCACACTCTAAGATGATTTTATCTTTGAATTCCTTAAAATTCTTAAATGGAAATGGAGGAGAACTTGTTAACCAAATGATACAAATGACAACTTGTATAAGAGTGAATCCCAAAACACACAGCCTTTGTTGTGTGTGTCCAAACAATTTCATATTGCTATCTGGACGTGTAGCTCTGAAGGCCATTAAAACAAGTATTGTTTTTCCCAAAACACAAGAGATACAGAGGACAAAGGTGATGCCAAATGCTACATGTCGGAGCATGCAGGACCA